TATATATATATATATATATATATATATAAATATATATATATATATATATAATATATATATATATATACTATATATCATATATATATATATATATATATATTATATAGTCTATATATATATATATATCATATATTTATATATATATAATTCATAATATATACAATTAATAATATATACTAAGTACTAATATATATATTATTATATATGATAGTAATAATAATAATAATAATAATAATATCAATAATAATAATAATACATAATAATATCAATAATAATAATAATAATAATAATAATAATAATAATAATAATATCAATAATAATAATAATAATAATAATAATAATAATAATAATAATAATATAATAATAATAATAATAATAATAATAATTAGAGATCAAAGTGCCATCATTTACAACAATCACAATAGTGATAAAGTAATTCAGAAGCACTGAAAAAGTTTACTATAAGTTCTTGAAAGCATCTAAAAAAAGTTGAGTTAAAATTGATTGGTGCGTTTAATTGGTTAGGTGTGTTTATAGACAAGCCATTCCATTTTTGAGGTGCATTTATGAAAAAAAAAATTAATCATTGCGTAGTTTTTGATAGGCAACAAGTAAATTGGCAAGTGTCTGATGATCTTTTGTTTTGTTATGAAATTCGAGTTTCTAGAAGTTCGAATAGATATGCAAGAGATTTGGTTTTCAAAGTTTGAGTTTAAGTAAAAAAACTAGCAAAGCATTTTGATTTGAATTAACAGCTGGAATAATAAAGCAGAAAAATAAAATAACTCTAATCATGAGCATATTTTTTATTTAATATATTTAATTTGTTTGCCTAAGTATGCTAATTTCTTATTTTTATTCAACTAAATAAAAAATGTTGTTACCTTATTTTAAAATTTATTTAATACCTTATTGAAACAACACTATACTATATGAAAAAAAGTTTCAGAAGTTATAGAATCAAAAGTTGCAAGAGCAAGCGACACTGTTTATTATCTCCTGGATAAATCCATGTGCAAAAGATTGCATCTAATCTATACAGAAGCATGAATTAGATGCTTTTTAGCTTCCACATGATCAAAGAAATTAAAAGATGAGATAAACAGTAGCTATGAAATAACAGATTTATTTCTGGCAAAAGCAGGCATTGAAGCAGCAAGAAAGATTTTATTTTAGAAATTATGATTTTCAATGATATTAAACCTTTGGCCAAAGTGCGGAAAATGATTTAATTCAAATGAAGTTGACTGATGACCTTCATTCTTCTGATCAGGGAATTAAAGCTCTAGAAATGCTACAGAGTGGAGAGTCGCCTAAACTAGGATCATGTGTTGATTTTATCAGGCAACTTAAAGATCTTTTAGTTTACAAAATAACACTGAAAACAACAAAAACCTCCTTTCAGTTAATATTAATGATAAAAATATAGAAAAAAATAGTTAAATGCAAATATTGTGGCCATCAACACCTACGTAGATAGTGCCCAGCATTTGGGAAAAGTTATAAAAAATGTGGAAAATTGAACCATTTTAAAAACATATGCAAAGCAAACATTAACTACAAAAGAAAAGTAGAGGTAATAGAGAACAATGATACTAGTGTATATTCCATTAACATGAATGATACAAACGTAGAGATTTATGTAAAAAATAAAAGATTACAATATAAAAATGCAAGTTGATACGGGACGTCAGGTCACAATCATGCCTAAAAATTTCAGGAACTAATGTCTAAATCTAAATTACAAAAACCTTTGACTGAAACAATTTGATGGTACAATTATTAAAGTCCTAGGCGAATTTGAGGCAACTGAGAAACTGAATGAATATTGTACGAATTATTGTTGCAGACTGTGCAAAGAATCATGGTTTAATTGGCATGTATTAAATATTAATGCAATAAAATTTATTAATAGTATAGAACCTATTGTTCACGGGCATTTAATTAATTACAAAGCAAATATACTGTTAAAAAATTGCATACAACAAACTTATTTTGAATCTCGACCTCTTCCTATTCACATAAGACCACTAGTAATAGATAAACTCTTCTTTTAATAGATTAAGTTTTATGATACCACCTTATACCAGTGGATGAAGAAAATAGGTTACTTACCTTATAAGACCCCACCTTACCATCCTCAATCTAATCGAGTAGCTGAAAGAATAGTAGAGACAGTCAAGATGGTTTCAAATGCTTATTTACTGGACAAATTAATAAGTTTATTATGTGGATGTTTAAGCAAAATGTTTTTAAGTTACAGAACAATACCTCATGGAGGAAGATCAAAGAGTCCTTCTGAGATGATTGGAAGGGAGTTAAGATCTTCTCTCATTATGAGCTTCCAAAATGGATCATCCTTATTGTATCACCAAAGACCAGATTCAAAACCTGAACCTGCTTCATTTATCTCTCAGGCTGGGCAAAGCACTGCTTTCATATTGTGGAATCACTGCAATCATAATGTGGAATAATTCTTCAGGCACGTTAGCACACTGTGACCAAATAAGCAAACGTCTGAATCTAGTATAGTTATGAATAATGAAGAGAGTATATATTATGGTCCCATCAATAATGAGAAACTCAATCCTATCAATAATGATATATGTGAAATGTCTGAAGACTTGTAACTGAAGAAAAATATACCCAGAATCAAAGTACACGTTTGACAAAAGAAGCGCAAGCAAATTCCTTTCAGGGATGTGAAGCCATAAAACTTTGTTATTTGCGGACAAACAGTAGCAGTGTTTGTGTATATACATGGCGATAAATAAATAAATATATATATATATATATATATATATAATATATATATATATATTATATATATATATATATATACATATAATTAACAGTTAAATAATTAACAGTTATAACTAATTAATAAAAAAAATTATAAAAGTTTATAAATGTTTTTGTAGTTTGCTTTCACCTTTTTTCATGTTTGAGTAACTTGGTAGTTGAGTCTGTGTCAAGAACTAAACGAATCTACAGAGACATTTCTGTAGGTTCTGACCATCCACTTGAGGGAAACTGTTGTTTTTTAAAAAAAGATTTTATACAAGTGAAAATACAAAGTAAAACATTTTATTTTATTAACCTAAAAAATGTTCTCTGAAACAACATTTTTCATGTACTTAAAATTTTTCAAATAAAATAGCTTTAGCATGCTTATTAAATACCAATAATGTTTTACAAATCAAAATTAAGTTTGTTCTACCACTTTATAAAATCAAGTTTGTTCCACGACAACATTTGGTCATTTTTCCAAGTTCTGACTTTTTTTTTTTTTAACATTTTGTTGATTTTTGCCTGTATTTAATATATGAATTTTATTGAACGATTTCCAAATTTATGCTCAAAATAAATTTATAATCAAGTAAAGTTACAGTAAAAACTACTGCTGATAACAACATAGCAACCACTGATTTTGAGGAACTAAGTTTGAACTAAGGTTGTTTCATAATAAGTTCTAATGATCATTTTTCTTTTATCTTTTTTAATTTTTTATTTAGAAAATTTTCAAATTGATAAGTGGAGCAAGCCAAAAATCGGTTTAGAAACTGAAGTGTTTCAAAACAATAGTCAACCATTAAATACCACTTTTTGGTGGCCAAATATATTTTCTGGAAATTCTTCAATAGAGAGTGTCTATTTGATTACTATAACTGTAAAAAAGCTTCAATATAGCAACACTGGTGTGCTAGGTTTAGTAAGTTGAATATTTATAAAAAATTCGTTGAATATTTATAAAAAAAAATTTATAAAAAGTCTCTATTCATATTTTCTTTGTTTCATAAAGAAATTTTTTTTTTTTTAAATTTTTAATTCATTTAAATTTATCAAAAAAAACTCTTTATATAGATAAAATAACAAAAGTATTTTTTTATTTTACTTTTTTATTTTTTATTTTGATTCTTTTTTTATTTTATTTTTTGTTATAAAATTAATCTTCTGAAATTTTGCTATATACTTTACTCCTACACATTTTAATAACATTCTTTATTTATATTTTAAAATTTTTTAATCTTAAATCTGTTATTTGAATTTTAAAATTACTGTTTAAAATACTCAACTATTACACTCTAATGTTTTGATGTAGCAAATAATTCTAATGTTTAGACAGTATCAAAATTATGGTCAGCATTCTGTGAGGCTGACCTAACTGCTGATAATGTCTAAGTTTGGCAATTTTTTTGCTGACCTCAGAATTTTAAAACTTTATTTTATTTGCACTGTGGACCAAAGAGACCTCTAGGTTTTATATAGTGTCATCATATTAAACCCTTTTTTTCACTCTATTCAAGAGTGTTTGTCTTATAACAATATATAAGGTGTGTTTTTAAAATATCTGAACAAGGTGCTAAAAATCATGAATGGGGCAAAAGGGTAAAATTAAAAGAGGGTCTTAGCCCATTTAAGCATTTTAGACACAATAAAAAAAAAAAAAATTATAAAAAAAATGTTATAAAAAAAATAATTTCTAAGTGTATTTATTCTATAAAAATGAGATTATAAAATTAAAAAAAAAGTCTCAAATGTGATATTATAGTTTAAACAAAGATTAAAAAAACAAAAATACTTAAAAAATACTTGCAATATTGATGTATATATAGTACATAATCCCATAAAATCAATAAATTTTGCTTTCTTTCTAGAAAAGTAAAAATTAATGCTAAATTAAACTCTTCTTCCATTAAACCAAATTGTAAAGTTGCACTCGGTGTTGAGTATACTATTCTACACGATTAAATCTATTTCATGTAGGTTTAAGTTCAGAATTAAGTTCCCACACTGCTCAGCAAACTGACAGTAAACTGTTAAGAAAACTTGGATGATAGGAATCTTGGTTAGATAAGAATAAGTTTTTAATATAGCAAATGCTAACTTGTACTCAGTTGCAAGAGTTTGAAAAAAACAAAAATATTTTACTATTTTACAGTCTTTCTTACACTCAGCAATAGGTCTTAGTTAAGAAAACTGAGAAATGTAAAGGTGCATAAGAAAATTTTATTCTACTTACTTAAGATAGTTTGCTGATTAGTGTGAACATAGAATAGATTTAATTGTGACTGTGTGAACATAGTTTGCTGGATAGTGTGAACGTAGAATAGATTTAATTGTGACTGTAGTTAGTTTTATTGGAAGGTGAGTTTAATTTAGCATTAAATTTTGCATACAGCTTTAGAACAGGAAGAAAAATTATTCAATTTTTATTGGATTATGTGCCATATATACATTAATATTATAAGTGCTTTTAAATTTTTTTGTTTTAAATTTTGTTTAAATTATTTAAAATTAAACTTTTTTTTGTAATGGACATCTAAAATGTCTAAATAGGCTTAGACCCTTTCAATTTTACCCTCTGCCCCTTTCTAACTCTTTACTTTTTTTCTAAATATAGAAAACTGTTTTTTATTTTTATAGAACAAATACTCTTGAAAAAATATATTTTGTAACATGGATTTAAATTGCTTAAATGGGTTAAGATTTCCTTCTTTTTTACCCTTTTGCACCTTTCTCAATCTAAGCACTTTGTTTAGATTTTTAAAACACACTTTTCTATTGTATTATTAAAGGCAAATAATCTTGAGTAATAAAAGTTTCCTTTGATTGACTTAATATTGAATCTGACAATCTGTTCGGACCACAGTATTTACTATATTTTATTATTTATTTATATAAGGCGAAATGAATGCCGTTTTTTTTTAAATTTAATAAAATTCAATTTATTTTATAATTTAAAAAACTCAGAAAAACAAAGCTTTTATTTATTTTTTATTTTTATTTTTTTGTGTTATTTAGGTGCCCCAGAAGACCTTATGGTCTTGTCACAGAACATCGCGAAAGTGCATTTAACCAGAAAGTTCATGCCTCCTTCCTTACCGTAACACGAAAATATGTCCAGAGCTTGTTTCGAACCTGGATCTCCTGCTTTTAAAGCAAGCGCTCTAACCACTGCAATTCATTTAAACATTTAAATTCTAAATCTAATAGTTAAAATAAAAACAACAAAACAAACATTTTATTTAAATTCTGAAAAAATTTATTAAAAAAAAGGCTAAAAATGGTATTATTTAATTTTCTAAATAAAATAGTTAAATTAAAAAATCAGCTGAACAAACATTTTATTTTAATTCTAAATAAAATAATTATAACAAAAATAGCAAAAGAAACCTTTTATTTAAAACAAGGTTTGAAAAAAAAGTTTTTTCTTGGTTGTAAGTTTTATTAAACATTCTCATGTTTATTAAATTGTTGAACTCTGATTCAAAATTGTACTGACCTAATGCAGACCTAAAAGGGCTTTAGGTTGGCAATTTTTTGCTGAACGTATTTTTCCTTATTCTGAAACTATTTACATGTGCTTTAAAAATTTGGTAGCAGGTCCACCTATAACTATGAGTATGTTTTAATATATTTTAAACAATAAAACTTGTTTTGACATAGTATTTGTCTTGTAAAAATTGTTCACAGTATTGGTTTGACAAAGGCCAGAAAATTTTAAAACTATAATTTTTTAATGCTAGCCAAATATTTTTGCTGCATTAAAACTTTCTGCAACGATGTATAAAAGATTACAATATTAATTAAAAATGGTAGTTTGTGTCAAATTGACTTTAAGATGATTACTGATTGATTCATGTAGTGAGCAGCTCACATTAAGGAATAGCTGCTATTTACGGTGCTGAGATGTAAGATTCAGGAGGAACCACACTACAAATACACACACACAACTAGTCCTCTCAGTTATGCTTGGTTTAGTTTAAGATCTGGATTCCTTATACTGTATACAACTTTATACATTCAGCAGTTATTTAAACAGGAGGTGCATTTCTTAAGTTGACATGATTTATAGTTGTTTTTTAGGTAAATAATGTTAACCTTTTCAATCATTATTAAGTATTATAGTGTTCTTGGAGCAAACACAACATTGTTTTAAGATGTTTTTTCTCTTTGATAAAAAAGCAGTAATCCTACAGTTAAGTAGCCTAAAATAATTCTATTTTTTGTTTTTGACAAAAAAGAGTTTAAAGATGAATATCAAAAAAAAAAAAAAAAAAATCAATAATTATAATTTATAATTTATTTAATCATAAAAAAGTCTTTACAAAAAAGAGAGTAAAAGAATCTTTTTTAAATTACTAAAAAACTATATTTACAAATATTAACAACCCATTAAATTGTCATAACAACCCATAAAAATTGTCATCAAAAAAACCATTTAAACATATTAACAAAAAATATTGATTAAAGTTAATAATGATAAATAAAATAATTAACAAAAATCTTGTGACAGAATAGCAATTTTGATAATCTCTCAACAGGGTTTATGCTTTCAGCTAAAACTTTGCAATTTCAGTTATGATAGCTTTCAAAAATATTTGATCTAATTCATTTTAAGATAATACATAATGAAGTTAAGAAACATACAAAGTAATAACAATAGGTTATTGATTCTATTGATAAAGTTAAAGTTATGTTACAAAGTTATTAAAGTTAATCTGTCAAAGGGTAATAAAACTTTAAAGACCTTTTCTAAAGAAGTATTTAGGCTACAGGAACTTTTCAGTTTTGAACCCAGATTACTTGTGTAAAATTGCGGTCTTTTACTCGAGATCTTCATCGTGAAAAAAAGTTTCTAAAGTTTTAAATGTTTTTTTTTTGCGCAATGCAGTCATTAAGTCTGTTAACTTTCTAATTTATCAAATTTATTCGAAGGCATTAAAGTTGCTTTGGTATTTTCAGATTCTTTTGATAAAAAGCCAGCATTAAAGTAACTCTTTAACTCAATTGCACAAATCATCTCTTTGTTTTTCTAGCAGGTACATTTCTTGACTTTTTATCTGTCTTCTATTTTTTTTTCAGCAAAATTATTGATTAAAATAGAATCTAGTAATCTCTGTAATAGCACTTGGTTTATTTATGATAATCTCAAAGTCTATGTTAAAGTAATTGTGCACTGGTAATTAAGTTTAGCTTGGTTTTTTATGAGACATGATGGGGTACATACTTCATACCTTCTTGCTTATAAAGCAAACAGTTTTAAATAGCACCACTACTACATATGCAGCAGTTTATATCATTTAAATAATATGCTATAGTCAGTGTGATTATATTATAAGTTTTGATTTAAAAAGATGTTTTGATTTTAAGGTACAGCTTTACTGGAGTTTCAGAGCTGTTACAAAAATATTATAATTTAAGTTACCTAGTACTTTTCAAAACAATGTTTGAAAAATTAAACTGTTGCTTACTATTTTTTATCATCGTTTGGTAAATATTTATTAATCAAATTAGATTTTTCTTACTGAATTTCATCATTTTTTAGATTAGTGAAAACATTTTTAATGTTGAGGAGCATTTTGTTTGTTCCAATATGGGGGACTTTATATATGCATATGATAGTGGAATTGAGTTTCAATTGAATATTTATCCAATCAATTACATTGGATTTGATGATACATTCCCATTATCTTCAAAATTTGCAAGTAAGATATTTTTATATGATTTTTATATTGTTTAGTGAGTATATTTTTGTAATAAGTTTGTATATATATATATATATATATATATATATATATATATATATATATATATATATATATATATATAGCATCCTTGTTGCAACATTGGGGACATGTTTTTTTTGTTCCCGTTCTGTTTTGTTTTTTTACTTTTTTATATTACTTTTACCATAGTTATATATTTTTTTTAACTTTTATTTTATTTCTATTTTTATTTAGGCATGTTTAATTTTATTATTTATTATAAAAATATATTTTTTATATTAGTTTTTATTATTTTTATTTATTTATTGATGCTTAGCCTAACCAAACCATCAGTCGATGTAGCAGCACTCCCTTGCGAGTCAGGCTATTTGATAATCAATGTATATACTTTTTGTTCTCTGTAAAAGTTTATTATGGGTACATTTTTTTACAAAAAAATAATGCTTATGGGGATGAAAAAAAATTAATGGGTACACTAAAATGTCCCTGATTATGCTGATGTCCCCGTATGTGTTTTTTGTAAAATCTGTCCCCGTAAGTGAAAAAAAATACAAATATATATATATATATATATATATATATATATATATATATATATATATATATATATATATATATATATATATATATATATAGTATATATATATATATATATATATATATATATATATATATATATATATATATATATATATATATATAATATATATACATATATTCAAAAAACTGCAATTTGGGATATATAAAATGAAATTTATCTTATCCTTAAATCTGAAAGTTAATTACGTATTGGTAATTGGTGTATGATTGGAATTTATGTTAATATAAAGGCTTATCACCTGGTTTTTTATAAAGTTAAAAAATGTTCTTAGAAAAGTTAAATGAGATATTTAATTAAATTTACATTTTTTAACTTCAATCTGGTAGTAATCTTAACACTTAATAATTAATTAGGATTTAAAACCCAAACCAGGTTTAAACCTAACGAAAAAACAAAAAGGTAAGTATCTTTTTTCTTTGAGCAAAAGTATTTGACTATATGTGGTACAGAATTTTTTTAGTTGTTATAGAATATTAAAAAACAGTTTTTCATTATTTAAAAAATAATAATGAAAAATTATTATGAAATTTTAGTTGCCTGGTTAATATAAAAATTGTTGTGTTTTTAGCTGTAAAAATTAAAGGGAATATTATTGATTTATATATCTATCAATTTCACAGAAACCACGTAAAAATTAAATATTTATAATCTATTATAAGTTATATTGTTCAAGTTGTATACTTTTTAGGAATAAACTATTTCATTTAAAATAATTTAATAAATTTTTAAAATATTTTTTTTTCTAGGTTTTTCAAATGATGGTGTTTTAACAAATCTTACAGTTAATCAACCTTTTTATGAATTCTCTGGTAATGTTATAAGAATAGGGTATAATGTACAATGGGCCTATCCAGATGGTAATTTTAATATATAGATAATGTATTAGTGATATATTTCATATTATATATATATATATATATATATATATATATATATATATATATATATATATATATTTTTTTTTTTTTACTTTATTTTTTCAGAAATTTCCGGATGTTTTTTTTTTATTAATTTGTTAAAAAAAAATTATATATTTTTACATAAAATTAAAAAAAAAAAACTTTTGCATTTAAACAAGTATTTTTTCTATAGTTAAAAATTTCACTAGATCAATTTTCGTAACAATTTTTCTTCCAATATATCCAATAAATATATATTTTTTGCTTTTTAATTTATTTAAATTAACTTTATCGAATATTAAAAATTCCTTTTTTGTAAAAATAGTTAAATTATCTAAATCCGTTTTAAAAGTTTACGAAAGTTTTTGTTTTACAAGGTTATGCAAAATTATAAAGTGCTTTATGCAAAATTACAAAGTGCTTTATGCAAAATTATAAAGTGCTTTATGCAAAATTATAAATTGCTTTATGCAAAATTACAAAGTGCTTTATTTAATAATAAATAAATGCCATTATAATAGTACAGGTCATTTTCAGAATCATCTAAGAATGCATAGGAATTAAAATACAATATTAAATTGTAATTAAAAATTAAATGACTAACTGGCTTAAAAACATAAACCAAATCAGTAATGTTTTTATCTAATTAATGCAAGTTTTTGAAATTAATGATAAAAAATAAAAATTTAAAACCTTACATGGCAAGAAAAAGTCGAATAATGATAACTAAGGAAATTCATGAAACAGTTAAAAACATGTCTAATTCGATAAATAATCATTCAACCAAATACATTGCGACATTTTAAACATTAGCCAAAGTGCTGTAAGAAACTGCATAAGAAATCATCAAGAAGGCATCAAATTTGCTACTAAGGGAGAACGCCACAAGAAAACAATCAAAAACAAAAATTTGTTGTTCAGTGAAATCGAAAATACTTTATTTAATACGATAGCAATAAATAATGAACTGACACAAAATGAAATGGTAAATGAAGTTAATGCAGCAACCGGTATGGTAATACCTCAATCATCAGTATCAAGGAAATTGTGGAAAATAAATATAACGCGAAAAAGGCTTTCATTGGTTCCTGAAGAACGAAATTCCCCAGCAAATATTGAAAAAAGGGCCATATATGCCCGCCGTATCTCGCGTATTTCTAGTGATAAATTGGTCTTTTTAGACGAATCAGGATTTAATCAGCATTTGAGAAGACGATATGGGTATTCCCAAAAAAATGAAAAGGCATATTCCATTGTTTCCGGAAACAGAAATACAAATCGAAGTTTGATGTGTGCAATAAATATTTCTGGTGTGGTTGCTTATGAATCAAGAACTGGAGCTTATAATGCTGAAAGCTTTGAAAGATTTATAAGAAATAACCTCTGTAATTATTTCCGACAAAACCCAGACCATATACTGATAATGGATAATGTTCCATTTCACAGATCAAGAAGTATTATAGAAGTTTTAAATGAATTAAGAATAAATAGAGAATATTTACCGGCATGGTCTCCTCAATTAAATCCCATTGAGGAATTTTTTAGGATGATAAAGGCAAGATATCGCGGAATAAAAGCTTTAAATAATGAAATTAATATTAAGATGCATTGGAAATAATTTTTAATCGAATGCGTGAAATTAATGAACAATTAAGTGGATTTTGGAGATCAATGGAACGATGATTGGAAAAAGCTAAACAAAACAAGATTTTTGAATAAAGTAGTTGCTTAAATTAATATAATTTTTTTGAAGTCTAAATGACATGAGCTTATATATAATTAATATTTTTTTTTTGAATTAATTATTGTATTTTATATTATATTGAATTAATTATATATAATTAATATATTTTTTTTGAATTAATTATTATATTTTATATTATATTGAATCAATTATATATAATTAATATAATTTTTTTGAATTAATTAATATAATTTTTTTGAAGTCTAAATGACATGAGCTTATATATAAATAAATCATATATTTGAACTTTTTTATGCTTTAAATGGATTTATTAAACGATTCGAAATTTTGCATAAAGCACTTTATAATTTTGCATAAAACAATCTATAATTTTGCATAAAGCACTTTATAAATTTGCATAACCCTGTAAGTTAATAGGAACAACTTTTAATAAAACAATTTTCAAGAATTTTCTGGGATTTTCATAAAGTCAAATACTCATCTATGATATATATATATATATATATATATATATATATATATATATATATATATATATATATATATATATATATATATATATTATATATATATATATATATATATATATATATATATATATATATATATATATATATATATATATATATATATATATATATATGTATGTATGTTGTTATTTAATGTAGGGTTTGGACTGTTGTAATTGTAATTATAAAAATTAAATACAATAACATATTACAATACAATAATACTGTATTTTAATACCAGAGATGTAATTAAAACATTATTTATTGTTATTGTATTTAGATTCATTTTTAAACTCATTTTTTATTATTTGGGCATTAAAAAATCTAAGGGAACGTTAAACTCGTTTTTAGTATAAATTTACATATATAATTTTATTTATTTTGAAAAGTGAAGTGAAGCCAGAAAAACCAAAGAAGTATATATTCTACGTATACTTAACAAATATTAAATTCAGGGGCGCTCGTGGCACCCAATTTTAGCAACCTTTTACATAAATTTTTTAAAATTATTTTGAGTTCAATAATATAAATGTGTAAAAAATAATTTATTTAGAATTAACATTAATAATACTCATTCAAAGTCATACAAATATATAGTTTATCATATGTTCCTAATTAGATAATATTTACTATGTGAAGTGAAACTTTTGATTTTTTTAAAATTTTGTCTAAACTGATATTGAAATGCTTCACCCAATGATAACATCTAAACTAATTGATTAACTACATAAAGTGCATGAAAAAAGTTAATTTTTATTATTATAAATAACCGCTAATAAGTAATTAATTACAGCATTATGGAATCAGGGAACCACTGACCTGGGTAATTATATATTATATTGTCTAAACATGTGAACTTTTTTTTTGCAACAATTTTTTTTACATTTTTAGATTACTCATCACCTATCAGACTAGAGTAAGTGTTATCAAAACATTTGGTGTCTGTTGTAAAAGCAAAAATTTGATTATGTATACATATCTATCCCCAGCAGTAAAAAAAAGTCAAATAAAAAGTAAAAAATAAAAAGTAAAAAAAGGTCAAATAAAACACACTTTTATAGATTTGTATAAAGTTTACAACTAGGATAAGTGATATTAAAAAAATAAAACAGAATCATTAACCATTATATCAGTTGTACCCTATTGAAATAGGGCACAAATAATATATGATTATTGATTCTATTTCTGGTCAAATAAATAAGTTTTGATATTACAATAATTTTTTTCATTACAATAACAAATTGTTTTTGTGTTATAAAGATGAATTACAATACAAAATTTATTGTTATTGTAGTGGATCATTACAATACATTTTTTTTCCGGATAATATTATTGTATTATGAAGATGAATTGCAATACAATATTTATTGTTATTACCATATTACAAAAATTGTAAATCACAGGTTTTGTTATTGTTTCTAAAAAAATAATACAATAACAATAGTTATTGGTTTTGTTATTGTTTTCATTACAATTACAACAGTCTGAGCTCTAGTTTAATATTATTTCTAAAACATGTAATGGAATATAAATTTATAAACATATAATTAATAATCTATTGACTGTTTAGTATTGTCTCAGTGTTTAGTTATCAGCATAAAAAGGCTTCATAAAACCGATTTTTAAAGTTACTTTTTTTGTATAGCATTAAATGTAATTTTTTAGACAAGAAAAAGAATTAAAAAAAAGACAACATTATTTACGGAGCAAAAAGATATATATATATATATATATATATATATATATATATATATATATATATATATATATATATATATATATATATATATATATATATATATATATATATATATATATATATATATATATATATATATATATATATATATATATATATATATATATATATATATATATATATATATATATATATATATATATAATATATAAATTAAGAGTAAATTAATATTAAGACTAAATTAATATTAAATAAGAAAGACTAAAGTAATATTAATTAAGAAGTTTATCTATCATGCCTTTTATTAAATATTATTCAAATTTAAAAAAACTATTAAATAATGTTTCTAGAGCATAAAAGGATGCATCTTTGCTAAATAAAAATCCAGGGAAGGTTGAGTTTTGATTAATAAAACAAAAGATTATAGCTTGTTTTAGCAGCAAACATAATAATATTTTAAAAATAGAAAGAGACCCAACTTTAGGTTAATGGGGCAGATGCTTAACTTGGTATCTTAAGCAGATCCAATTGCTTTTATAATATATTTTTAAATCTTTTCTAAAAAAGAAAGAGCAACATAAAAACAAGCAAAAAAAAATGAATAAGAGATTTACAGAGGTTAAAACTAGAACCTTAAGTTTAATATTTTTTCTTTTTTCAACATCTTCACTTCTAACAATCTTGCAAGAAACCACTATTAGAGTTCAAATTTACTGGAAGAGAAAAGATAAAGTTTATAGAGCAAGATAATGATTGACAGACAACTTAAATGATTGCAAATAATATGAATCAGGAAAGAAAGATGAAAAGAGCAAATTCTATAAAACTGATGTTTGAGGAAAAAAACTAGACGAATAAGAATTTTTGAAGCACTTAGGAACAGTCACAATTAAAGAATGAGACCTAATTGAATGATGAGTAACACAATAATGAATATTAGTAGATGACACAAGAGACGCTAGCTCTATAGAGCAGCGCCCATTATAGTATTTATAGAAAAGAGAAAGAAATGTAATATTACTACAATGTGTTAATGGTTGAAGTT